TTGGCAGGAGTTAGGGAGTGGGGGAGCATTACCACTTGTCAATGCAGTTGTAATCTTTATGAAGAACTGACAAACATGGAATATTGCCACTTTTCTCAGCATTTTAGAGGTGCCAGTGAGTATTGTTGAAATAGCCACAGTCATCAGTTCCCAGTTTACACGGTACGGTTTTAATATCTCTGACAGGAAATCCCACTGCACCACAAGTAAATGGTTTTGCTGTTTGTGAACCCGTTGACTGCAGATTTGCAGTCAGTGATCCTATTTCTCAATTTTTTCTTGCATTTAGCTGAACATTCTCAATACGTGGAAAAGTTCACAGGAAAGTATTCTTCTTTCTCCTTTTCTACAACTGCTAAATCTGTTCTTTTGGGGCTTATTTCAGGAAGAGTGACTGAAAAATCCCAGAAAGTTTTTATATTCTTATTTTCTACAACTTTTTCAACCCCACTGTGGTAATACGTTTCTTCTGTCTGTAGTCCAACCCTCTTGCACAATGCTGAGAGCACCACACTGACCACTTTGCATGACGTACTTTATATTCTTCTTCCACCAGTTTACTGTTTGTTTGATTTTTCCATCCGTTTTGGTGTCTCTCACTGTTGTTTGTCTTGTTACTGACTCAGCAGCAGTATGTTTCTCAATTAGTTTTGAAGCCTGATCCAAAATCCATTCAGTCCCCCCTCAATCTTTTACATAATTTGCTGTATGTTTATGTTCCTGTTCCACAGCAACACATCCTCCACTGCTTAAGAATCATGAGTCTCTTACTGCAGTAATTATGATTACAGTGTAGCATATGGATTGGAGTCTCATTCTCTCGTGCACAGTATTTACATTTTCCAGATAGTCCCCAGGCTGGATCACTCATAAACTAGAGAGATAAGACAAGGGGAAAAAAACCACAAGAGCAAGCAGAATTCAATTTTAAAGACAGAGTGATGTGAAAAGAGGGTGATTCACCCAAAATCTCACAAGAGCTATAGAACAGAGCCAAAAAATGCATCTGTGACATCTAAGCTCCAGTCAGGAACAAAGCCACGTAACCACAGCTTAATCTCTTTTAAAGCTTGTGTTAATGCCCGCCTTTTGCTTTCAACCTTCCCTATAAAGTGTTTTGCAACATTCTGTTGGAAGGAGCTATATAAAGATAAATTGTGATATAGTATATAGTTGACGCATAAACTACTCTTCTTTTGATCTTTCCAAGCTGAAATTGCATTGTTTGGGTTTCGTCTTTGGTTTTTATATCTCAGCTGCAGACCAGATTCATTGCTTTTGTAAGAAAGAGACATTAGCTATCTTGAGAGTTTCACAGCTTGCTCCTTAGATAAACAGAGATGCATCAGTGTTGTGATATCATTTTGCCAAATGTCCCACACCACCTGAATTCCTTTTGTGGTACACTGGAGGTCTGTAATATTTAACACAGAAGTCGTTCTCCAATTTCTTGCATTTAGTGCATGTGAACATAAAAATGCACATTTGAAAGACAAAGTTGCCAGAATTGATCTTCCCAGGAAAATATAAAAAATGCTTTAAAAATAATTCTGAAGCTGAAAGATAAATAGGAACAGCTGCTAAATGTCCTTCAAGGCAGCCCAAGATTCATTTCAATTACCCTGCACAGCGCACCTCAGGTGCAGCACAGCATTTTCAAGTTTTATATCTATCAAATATAAGCCTAACACAAAGTGTTATTTCCTCCCACTTGTTATTGCCTCAGCATATCTGACAGGGTTTTTTTCTAATTCCTTTTCTCCTTTTCTTTTCTTATTCTTTTTTACTGATACCCTACTGCTTGAGAGGAAATGCAGTATATGTCTACTTCAGCTTTCATTGTCTGAGTTAAAGTAATACTGGCCTATATACATCTATTTCTGCTTTCTTGTCTTTTAAATTTGTTCTGTGGCTGACCTTCATCTGAGTCAAACTGCTATGCTGTCCAATCTTCAAAGGCTAAGAAACCTTGATTAATCACTGTAATATCTTGTCTAGCCTTTGAAATCATACCTTAATTTTTTAAAAAAGCACAAATAGTAAATATAGGTCTGCACTTTCATTGGTACACCGAGTTGTTTGAAGACAGCTACAGAGAGGAGGTTCCCACTAAAAAAGGTACAAGTGATGTACCATACAAACAAAGTATTGGTAGAAAAGTGATTAACGGGGTTTTTCTAACGATGGCATTACCCAACTTATTTTAACACTATCATTTTTACGATTTTTTAATATGTTTATGAACATTTTTTCCAGTGAATTAGGTGACATGTTAAAACGGGTGAGGATTTCAAGGTTTTCTTTAAGAAGCAGATTTTACAAAATGTTTTTGAAAAGAAAATAATGGTCATGTCTACATGGCATTGAAAGACTGCTCTGGGTGGTAAGGAGCTATTTTGGCATGGAGAGCATTCATTTGGGTCTCCATTTCCAACCCACCAGTAAATTTCCTCCCTGAGAAGGACTGTGCTCACTAGGAGACCGGACGGGATATCCTCACCGCAGAAATAGGTACTGAAATACTCTTCATTCCATCAACATACGTGTTTCCATTTGGCAGAGTGATGCCCAGGACAGCTGCCTTTATTACCCTGTGCCACTAACCTGCAAAATTTGCTTCCTCTTCTGAGATGCTAGTGTGCACCAGAAGCACCTGCCCAGAGCTCCTATGCCTTACTTAACTCTGTGATGGGAGGTGGTAAGTAGCAGCTTCCTGAGAAGCTCTCAGCTGTACCCAACTGTGCAAGGGTGTCTGTGGAATTTCAGGACAAAGCCAAGCACATGATCTTGCCCCACTTTCGGTGGTTTCAAACCTTCCTTAAACATTTACTCTAGCCTATTTAGGTTTGCTCTGCAATGAGGTGTAGATCCTCAAACATTTCATTACCAGGTCTCAGCTGGATGCTATGGCTAATAGCTAAGGGACTGTAAGGGCTAGTACAGAAATGACCCATAAGAAGCAGCTTCCTAAATCACTTTGCAACTCAAGCCTTCACTCTAACCCCCATCTTCTCCATTCACAGTATGAATAGCACAGTCAGTCTCAGGGGCTGAATTCCAATGTGCTACCTCCAGCAAGTGCTTTAAGTCATGCTGAAGCACTAAGTTATCCCATATTGCAGTGTTTAGCATCTGCATGTTCAGATTACTAAAATTTAGTCCCAAGCTCACTGTCACACTGCCAGGACCAAGCAGATATACCCACTGTAACACAAAGAGGCAAGCACAGCAGAAGAGGCCAAACTCTTCCCCATTTTCACTGTTGTTTTAAATGAATGGAATTCATCATTTTGTTTTCCCGTGATTTCAAAAAGCCAATAGCTACAGCCAGCCAGTGAGCAGGACAAAAGAGAAAGAATAAGAAATGTATGGTAAAAAAGTGTAGAGATGCACATAGTTCTCCGCAGGCTTCATGCTGAATGTCAAGTATTTGTGGTCACATCATATTTTCCAATACTGTTTTTTTAAGGGTCTGGTTACTGTTGTTTGAATTCAGAGTGTATCAACTTTCAGATTAATTCCTTTCTGTATGGAAATTGGTGGTGAAAGTTTCAGTTGTCTGTGTTCTGCTCTGCTTTAGCCTCAGTTGCAAACTTATTTCACACTATTTTGCTCCAGAGTGCATCAAATACAGATAAAAATTCCTTCGTATAGGTAATGCATGGACCTAAATTCTCATCTAGATTCATGGGGATGTTTCATGAAGCATCTTTATGTATCTCCCCATAAAGAGACATGGAAAGGATAAGCCTTCTCTCTTTCTCAGCTTTGGTGTGGTTTTCTTTTAAATTGGGTGGAAGGGGCGTGGGGGTTTTTTTGTTTTCAGTCTAAAGGCTGAAAGCTGAGACCATAAGTGTCCCTTACGTGGAATAACAGTCATTCTGTTCTAAATTTGGGGGGAACAAAAAATTGTTTAGCCAGCATTAGGAAATAATTTTTATAATACCAGTGTTTTCACTCTGAATTTATTTTAAACTCTTGCTGTGTGGTTTGTTTTAGGATACTTAAACAGTTCTGCTTGGGGACTTTGGGGGTCGTTTTCTGTTGTTTTCCATTTCTCTCATTTGCAAAGTCAAATTGCTTTTTCTGAATCAGAAAGTTATGAATATTGTCAGTATGCTATGCAAGTCATCTAATAGCCATGTTGGAGTTCAGTGGCTCTGCATTGCCAGAGCTTAGAAAATCATGCCCATAGGTTGGCATGATTGCCATAGTTCCTCTGACATGGCACACAACCTTGCTCTCATGTACACCTGGTAAAACCTAGTCACGCTAGGTGAAGAACTGTGAAGAATTCCCTACTTGCTGCCCATCAGGATACAGCTTGATTTCTAGAGCTGTGAAGTACTTGCAGCTCCTGTCAGTTTTGACTGAGTTTGGGTTGCTCAGACCTGAAGCATCAAACCTGTGTACTCCAGGTGGTTCCATCTGTTTCAGTATTAAAGTATTAATGATCAAATGTAGCAGCATGCTCTTCTTCCTCTGCCTACATAAATTTGATCAGAAGGAAATTGATTTTTGTTCCTTTTTCTTTACAAAATGAGCAACCTTGCAAAATGAAGAGCATCTTAATATTTGAGCTCTGTATTCACTATTCAAAATATAAGCCAGGTGTTTTGGGAAAAAAAGAAAAATTTATTTCCAATTGATGGCTTGTTTTACTCACATAGCCTTCTTTTGAAATTTTGATCCTGTACGTTTTAAACAACAGATACAATAATATCTTAGTTGTGTTGCAGGAGGACCATTGGTAGATATCCTAAATCTGGTTTATGATTTTATTTTGAACATACTCTGCTTTTGCAGTGAGATCCCAGGTAGGAGAGTCTGCCATGTTACCTAATCCCAGCTATCAGCATGGAAAAGGCCACTACTATGACTGCGGGAGGGGTCAATACAGAACAAGGTGTCGTTTTCACATACCCATTACTTAAAATGCCTTTTTTGCCTCCTTTGTTTCCAGGAATCATTCTTTCACTTGCTTTCTGTCTCCTTTCCAGGTGTGGATGTGTGGAGGTGGCATGTTTGATGTTCCATGCTCTCGAGTTGGGCATATCTACAGGAAGTACGTCCCATATAAAGTCCCTTCTGGAACCAGCCTAGCACGGGTGAGTAATTGGGTCTTGCTGTTTTTCATTTTCATTCATCATCAGTCTCTTCATTACCTGTGAACTAGTTTCCAGTAAACCATTAAAATGGAAAATGAATGTTTCCTTATTTTTCTGAAATGGGATGTGCAATTGCTGCAGTTATGCTGCCTTCCAGAGATAAGATTGCCAAGAATAAAATAGAAGCTTAAAAATACAGGGTTGGACATCTCAGCACAGAAGCGCATTTCATGCTAATTCAAAGAACCTAGGAATAACCTAAGGCTTACGGTTCTCAAATTGCACAGTGTTGTCAGTCATAGTTTTTACAAGCAGGACCAATTTGAATGCACATTTTCTTATTAGTCAGCAGAAAAGGCAGAATCTCGTGGAAGGGATGTTTTTCTGAGGCAAAAGGACTAAGTAACAATGATTTGAGCGACTGTCTAATTATTGTGTAAAACCTGGTTGTGGAATACAGCCAGCTTTGAGCCATGTGAGTGAGAAATTACAAGACCTCTAGACATTTCTCAAAGACTACTGAACACATCCATATCCATGAGGGGCTTTTTGCTCAAGAGAAAATGTTCTATAACTTTCTGGAGATGTTCACGGGATGTCAAAAGATGGGAGACAGAGGGCACAGATGTAGCTTCCAGGCAGATACTAGCATTTATTCATGCTTGAGTTTAATCTTTTCTGGTTTAGAGGATTTTTTTTTTTTTTTTTATAAAATGGCATTAATATTAAAGTCTGCATATTGCCATAGGGTAATATTTTATGAATCATATTTTTTCTTAATAATGAAAATGTGGTATGAATAAAAGAATAAATTTCTTGCTTTAAGGGGGAGATGTTCTTGGTTTCAGCACCATGGGACAAGGCTTGCTGTAGTAACTGCAGCAGAGGAAAGAGGCCACCTGCGCTGCCTGCCTGACAGCTGGCTAGACAGAGAGAAGGATTTGCCTTAAAAGAGCATCAGTGCAGACAGTGTGACACACGATACAGTAATGGGATTAGTGGTGGCCTTAGTGGTGGTGACAAAAACTCTACTGACTAAACTGTGAGATGAAAATCTTCCCCCAATATAGCTCTGTGTAATATCAGAGTTTCCCCATCCAGATTTTTGCACTGGCTGAAATAAACTGCTTTGTTTATGGTATCCACTGCAAAAATCACACACAACTTGAAACAGGAAATCCAAACCTCAGTCTCTATTCTTCTCTATTACAGCACAAAGTATCTCATTAGAGAATATGCTGTCTCGTGCATTACCTGTAGGAGCAAAATACAATCATTTCTATTTGGACTACTAGCATCTCATAAAGTTCAAAACTTAACTAGCTTTCACAGAGGCACTGTGAGTACTTAGAGCCACCAGGTAGCCACAGCCTGCAGCCTCCTTGTACCATTTATTTTAGCTTGATTTCGATAAATCACTCATGAAATATTACCAAAAACCATTCCTGGCTATAAAACTGAAATCTCTGCCTGTGCACAGACTGACTGCCCTGTATCTTGTGGGAAAAGATCTAGTGTGCTGATAGGATAGGTCTTGACCATCCCATTCAAATAATGCATAGTTTCTTCTGTGTTGTGGGGGTCCAAAACATGATGCTTAGGTAAATTTCTGGCAGATATTTATCAATGAAAGAAAATCTGAATTCTTAGATTCCCAGCTTCTTTCCAGTACAACGTTCTAAACCAAAACGTTGATGTTAGGATACATTGCATCAAGGCTGCCAAGAGCACAAGAAAATTCTGTATGTTTTAGTGTTTGGGGCTATCTCAATAACTAGCCAAGGAAGAGAGTTTGGTCCCTGACCCATCAAATTGTGTGTAGTTTTAAGCCTAAAAATATTCTCTTTCATCCAAGCTGGAAAATGAAAAGCAAGGATGTATTCATCTTTGGTGTGTCAATCCCTTTGATACAGACCTCTTGCATTCCAAATAAACTGCCCCAAATGGAGCTGTTAGCCAAAATAATACTAGGGGAGTATGTACAGGAGTGGCCTGGATATTTCAGCTATCTTTGCATTATCCTCCAAATATTGTATTGTATTATATTATATTTTATTATATTACATGACATTATATTATATTATATTATATCCTCCAAATATTATAGCCTATCCCTTATGAGTATTTTATCTAAAACTTCCCTCTAGTTCAGGAATATAATGAATAACACACTCAAGAATATCTGGAAGTATTATCCCTGCTGCCAAAGGCAATACTTTTCACTTCTAAGTAGTTCCCACAAAGGTTTTTACTAAATCCTTTTCCATCTGCTGCTAAAGAAGGATGCTGGAGATGCAGTTCAGAAAGGAATGAGCCCTACGAAGCCCAACTGTGATTGTATAAATGATTGCAGGAGCCCCTTCATTAATCAAGGGAGAATTTTCTCTTGTGCAGATACTGCGTTAAAGAATGACAGATTTTCCCATCCTGTCCCACAGCAGCAGCACAAGGGATATGGAGGCTGGAGTTAGGAAGAGGACAGAGCTTCTAGACAAATTCAGGCATAGCCCAGATCATGCCATGGGTTTGCTTTCAAGCTGGTTCAGCTTATGTTTACCCTTAACAAATAATGCTTAAAGTGACCATTTTACCTTCCCTTGGGATTTCAGCTCTCTATATCTTTTAGCAGCAAGTTTCAACACAGAGTTTCAGCCAGCTGCATAATGCCTGACCAATCTAGATATCTTTTTGAAGAGCTGTAACCTGACATGAGGATCACATATGCTTTATTAAATGAGAGACTTGTCAAAAACTCTGTTCCGCCTCCCCATCACTAAATAACCATTGTTATTTAATAACACACAATAACATATTGGGTGTACTACACACAATAGTATGTATCGTGACATCAATTTTCTATGTCCTTCTTATTGTATTTCTTACCTTCTTATCTGTCACTCAAGACCTGCAAAGCCTACGCATATTTTTTGCTGACACATACCCCATAAATTGAAAAGCATCCACATATGAAACACTCTGTCAGTACAACTGTTTGGTGGTACAGAGCAAAAGTAAAGCAAGCTGTAAACATGCGGAGTAGATTTATAAAACAGACTGTGACAACCAAAAAAGCTGAATATTTTTGTCTGGAGATGTCTTAAGATGTTGCTGCTTGCCAAATGCAGTCTGTGTCCAATTTACAGGTAATTGCACATAAAGAAAGATTAATGGGCATGCAGATGTCAACACTGATTCCACATTATAATGTGGAAGCACCACATAATTATTCATTCATTCCAAACCTGTCAACCTCTGCACAAAACTGCAGTGACTAATAACTAATTTTGCCGGTTTGTTTTAGTTAAGACATATATAGAAAGCGAACCCCCAAATCTTAAAAGTCCTATGCAAGATGTTGCCCTATTAAAAACTTCTGAATTATTTTACTGGATTATTTTAGTTGCTTTGTGGTATTCTTGACTGTTGCTTCCTTTTTAACAATTCTAGCTAAGCCATTTTCTTTTAGCCAGTTACCTATGAAATTAGACTTTAAAATATTATTAGCGTTTTCTTGTAGGTGCATCTCAGTTTATTATTTATTTTATTTAGTTTCCTATTGGGGGGGGATTTTTTTTTCTATTTGTGATTCTGTAAAAGCCATAAGAAATTTATCAATAAAAGCTCACTGTTCCATAGGATATGCAGAGATGAACTCAGAATTTCAAAATATATCTACAGAAATTTTTTTCATTTGCAGGTATTTTACACAGCATTTTAGCATTAACTACAGAACATTAGAGCATTAGGCCTTTCTGAAGGGAAGGGCAATCCCACTGAAGTTCAAGTTTGGATGCTAACCCAGCAGCGTGGTGAATCCTAACCTTAAGTTGAATTCCTCCCTGCACGCCAGGACGTGGGATCCCAGAGCACAGTGATCCTCTGACCCAGCAGGCACAAGCACGATGACATTTGCCTCATTACACAGTGTCGCTGAATTGGAACTTGCACGAGTTTGGGTTCAGGAATTCAGCTGATAAAGGTGGGTTCAGATTCCCACCTGAACCATTTGCTCAGCCTTTTCATGTGGCTTCAGAAGGGATCTTCAAAGAAAATTACTGTAGCTATACCATCTGGTGCTGTGACCACGTTTACACTTTTGACAGAGCTTCCTTTAATACTGCGCCCCTTGGGGGGGGGGGGGGGTGTCCCAGCTGCAAATAATGTTTGGGGTTTTCTTAAAGCAGCCCATGAACATTTTCTTTTTGGTTTCTGGGGAAGTTAAAGAACCAAGGAGAATCAGTTAGGTAATGGCTATGTTTTCTCGTGACCGGAGTGCAAACCGATAGACGTTGCATGCTGTTAAGGGAGCACTGCTGGCACTTTTGCAATCACCTCTGTAGGAAAACAGACTGTAGCACCAAGTCAGTTATGATTCAGCAGTCACAGTAAGCAGCTGAAACATCAGCTTAGAATAAGCAAATTACTTAGGAATCAAGCAAGAATCACCGTCTTGCAACAGCACAGCTATAATATATAATGATGATGATTATACAATACAGCTTTTAAGTTTCCATTCTAACTTTTTTCATTTAACAGTTTTATAAATTCATCATGAAAATTATTTGAACCGAGATCTCAAAGAGAGTGCTTACCAAAGAAAATCTTCAAATTAATATCTTCTAATCCCTGAATACAAGAAAGTCAAAGTAATTTTTTTAAATGCTAATATTTTATATTTTCTCCAATCTGAATAGAAGTTTTGCTTTTAAGATAATAACGCAACAGGACAGGCAGCTTAGCTATCCAAACGGAATACAAAGAAGATGGAGAACTAGATGTTTCTGGATGATAACAACGTGAAAGTGGTGGTAGCTACTTTCCAGGGTTCGTTCAATAGGCCAGCGCTGGAGCCCAAGTTACGTGACTAAAGAAATGTATTTGGAATCAAACCCCTGAACTCTCTTCAGGCTTAGCTGCAGAGGTGGGCTATGGTCTGTACGTGCCCGCAGAGTATGGGTCTGTAAAGCGAGCACGGCAGTAGCCAACAAATCTGCGGAGAT